AGAGAAAAACATCAAAAATGGCTGAGAAGGATCCATTAAGGCTGAGAAGGAGCCATTGGGGGCTGAGTATGAATCATTACTGGATTTTGTAAGTTTGCCATGTTGTTATTTTGGCAGTTTATAAGCGCAAATGCTAATGCATTATTTTAACAGGTTGATGAGGAGATAATTGAGACAACTATGAATGTGGAAGTGGAGAAAAGCTCCAAAAGAAAATCCAAGTTGCAAGTAATTAGGAAAGAAAAGAGATAAGTGAAAATGGAAAATGTTGCAAGAAGAATGACACTGACTGTTAATATGCAGTGGGAAATCTTCATTTTTTTATAATATGCACACTTTTTGGATGACTTCGTTTTGTATTAAAATTTGGATGATTATGTTTTGTAAGCCTTTTATGGTTCTGCATAAGTGAAGTACTTTTTTGTTGGTCAGAATTTGTGCAAGTTGCATTATTTTTTGGTATTATGATAACCTTAGTATAGATTGTGCAAGTTGGATGTAATATGTTTTACTTTGTTACAGATTATGCAAGTTGCATTATGTTTTGACAATATATTATACTACCTTACTGTGTACATTTTTTTTCTTTATATTTTTTAAGAATTGTTAGTCTAAGTTGGAAAAAGTATGCATTCATAGAATAGTAATTTTTTTTCTTCTTTGTTAAAGTTGTTCTGTGAGTAGTATAATTTTGTATTTTGAAGGTAAGTTTATAAGAACAAAAACTTACATCCAAAATTAAAACACACACTACTGTAATAATAAATCAACAAATTATATCTAAAATTTAAACACATACTACTGTAACATAATTTGTTGTTTAACATTACATCAAATTATATTACAACAGAACCAATAAAAACATAAATTTCATTACATTACAACAGAGAAATTAAAGCATTAGAATAGAAAATTCATTAAACCACAATTTTCCACTTCCTACTACAATTACACATAGTTAGATACATCATTCTGCCACCAACATTCTGCAAAATAATCTTCTTCCTTCACATAATAAAATACAGCACACACCATGAAGCTACAAACACCATCCACATCCATTTTTCTCTCAAACTTTTCTTCTTCAGCTCCTCCTCATGTTTGTTAATCTTGCGAAGTAAACCGGGTATAATCATGCGCGATCTTTCACACATTGGAGGGTCAATCCATACAAAGTAATTGCATCCTCCAACTTCCTACAAATTTTGAACATAAAATAGAGAACTCTTTTAAGGTGTTGAGAATCTACATAAACCAAGGTATATACACGAAAATTACCCTGTACTTCGGACAAGTGGAGTATCTTCTTCCTGGATTCATATCTGTCCATGAAGTTCTTGAAATTGGCTTCCTTGAACAATAGCAACTCACGTCCATTTCGAGCAAGAAAATAGCAAGTTAGAGATAAAGCTGAATGAAAAAAAAAGGGGTAAAAGAACAAGGAAATAAGGAGCTTAGGTTACATTGGTGCAAAGTATTTTATAGCAGGGGAATGTAAATAAAAGGAGGGAAAATCTCAGTAAAAAGGGAGGGAAAATTGTTGTGAAAAGGAGGGCTAGGTTTATTTGTGATAGAATTGACAATTTTGTCCTCCTAAATCTCACGTGCAGCTCACGTGCGGGTGATTCCGGCGAAAATAGACCAGAATCTGCCAATTTAAGGCACCGTGCAAGCGTTTCATGAGTTGAGGGGAAATTTTGTAAAAATAATTAGTCCAGGGGGTAAAGTGCAAAAGCCACTATAGTTTGGGGGGCAAAGTGCCAATTACCCTAAAGAAAATAACAACTTATTTGAAGCTTTGGAATAGGTCAGCTTTGTGCAACTTGTACATGGTTTTGATTGAAACAAGATTTTTCAATTTTGAAGGCAGTAGTAATTAACATTTGAGATTTGAGATTCATTTCCGCGAGGATGATGAACTTAGAACTCTGCGACCTACTTTTCGGAAAAAATAAAAATAATTTTTTTGTTGTTTTCTTCTATGTGCTGAAAATGAATTTTGAGATCTCCTCAAGAGAATGTGTAGTGTTTTATATTAGCATTGAATTTTTCTTTCTTCAGGCTTCAATGGAGCAAACTTTTTCTAATGAAAGATTCATTCTAATTTGTTTTGGGGAATATTTCCTTGATTTTATACGGAAATAACTTCCATGATTACAAGTGCTACTGTCAATTTCAATTCTTGGACTTATTTTTTTCCTATCTAGCAACTTAAATTCTTTGCCTGAATTTTTTTCAGACTTGATGACTCGTCCATTGGCTTTGGTGCCCCTGTTCAAGCAAATATGAGAATAGGTGGAGGTGTTACAAGTGCTACCGTAACATTGTCTTTGCTAGAAACTGTAAGCTTTAAAAAATTCCTGTAAACATTATATTTAGAAACGAGATTACATGTATAAAATACTTTGTGTAATCCATTCGCCAAACTATATATTATGCCGAAAAGAGTTCGCATATATATATATATTTGCATTTTGTAAGATTTGAATAAGAGCAGTACAAAGGAACATGTTTGAATATATATATATATATATAAAAAAAAAAAAAAAAAAAAAAACCTCTATTTGGGCGACCGAAAAGCGTTTGAGATCATATATGTGACTCTGCATATGGTTGGTAATTTTCACTTCAAAGTCTATACCACCAATATATATATATATATATATATATATATATATATATATATATATATATATATATATATATATATATATATATATATACATACTTGCAGGTTGCCTCTTTTCAGCAAATGCATCCCAGCTTACATTGCCCTCAAAATTATGCGTACACACTGGGCAAACTGCACCGCGCTTTGCGTGGTGCCATCCCCCTAGTATATATATATATGGTTAATACTTACTGTTTTATGTTTTAAACTTATACGTATGAGTATGACCAATATTTGGAATCAGAATATGAACTGAAGTTGAAGATTTTGCTTTGATCTCACTTCATTTTTGGCAAGGATCTTAATTATTTATTCAATTCCAGGTGTATTCAATTTTGTGCAGGTAAATTGATTTTGCATCGATTTTTGTTAACATTTTCTACATGAGCATATATATGTATTTTTTTAAAATTAAATCTCCTAACCTTTTTTTATCTCAGCTCTAGTATTGTTTGAACTCTGCTCCATTATTTTTGTTTAATTTTTTATATCATTATTTCCACGCAATTCTTGTATTTCTGTCATGTCTATATAGTTTATTAAATACGTATCTGTGTGTAGATGTAATTATAATGGTTGGGAAAAGTTTATTTAATTTCTCATAATACATAGAAAGGCGTAAATAAATTAGATGGAATGTAAGACTAAAATTCAATCGAGAGAAAAATAAGACCAAAATTCAATCAAGAGAAAAATAAAAGACTAAAATTCAATCAAGAGAAAAAATATGAAACTAAAATTCAATCAAGAGAAAAACATAAACGAAATTGGAAAGTACTGAAAACGAAAAAATAACGGTAGCACGCATAACAACATGCAAATGGCCGATCGTTGAGTTAATAATCCTAGCCGCGTTCTACCAAACAAGAAAGGTTGATAATGACAGAAATCAAGACGCATACGGCGTAAATAAGCGGATAGTTGATTAAAAAATTCTTCAATTTCCAACCGTTGAGCGCGTTCAGCAAGTGGAACGTGCTGCTTACTATGTGCAGCACAGAGAAGCCAACCGTCATAGCATAACCAAACCACGTCATCATCGGGTTATTGTCAACTCGATAACGACACAAAACCAAACACACTTAGATAGTTGATGTGAACGGCGCCACCCACAACAAACTTGTTCGATGCTTTGCCCCACCTACTCCCATTACCAATAAGATCTCCACACCCATTGTCACACATGCCACAATCACCTGATGATTCATATAAATAATAAATAATTTTTTTTTACAAAATTATTGAATATAAATATATATCGATGGAATTTTTTTTTTTTGATAAGTAATTACCTGCAACAAACTAAGTAAGAACATGGCTCGTCCTCCGACTTGTGCTCCGGCAATCATCTGTGGACGCTCCCAACCAGCTTCTTCATCTCCCTCTCCCGCCGTCTCTTCAACCATCTGTGGACGCTCTTCTTCATCTCCCTCTCCCGCCATCTCTTCAACCATATGTGGACGCTCCCATCCCGCCATTTCAACCATATGTGGACGCTCCCAACCCGCCATTTCAACCATATATGGACGCTCCCAACCCGCTTCTTCGTTCTCTTCAACCATATGTGGACGCTCCCATCCCGCCATTTCAACCATATGTGGACGCTCCCAACCCGCCATTTCAACCATATGTGGACGCTCGTCTCCCTCTCCCGCCATCTCTTCGATCTTTACTCCTTTTTTCTTCGATATTTTCTACTTTATTTCGAGTACGTATTTAATTTGATTGATGATAGTAATTCAGTGTATATATAGACCAATTTTGATTATCTATTTTTAGGTATTATTTTGTATCTTAAGCAGCATGACCAATATTTTTGGAATGAGAACCATCAATTTGAGTAGTAGATTCTGATTTCGATTTTTTGTTTCCTTTTTGGCATAGATTCTATTTCCAACAACCACAAATAATTCTACGTGAATTATATTTGGTACGTAGTTTCTTAATTTTAAGCATGCATGCATGGCATGGCAATTAATTTTTTTTGGAAAGGTACAACACATATTTCACTATTTTATTTGGTAAGAATTGATATTATTATCATGCATAAATTAGAATTGTTTTTTGGAAAATTAAATATGAGAAATTAAATACGTACCAAAAGGAAATATATATATATATATATATATATATTACAAACCTATAAAGATGTAGTGCGCTGATGAATAGTAACTTATTAAACATTTTGATTTATTTTTCGAACAAAAGTGCACAAAACGACGCCGTTTCAGGTGAAAATCTGCAACACAAAGCGTAAATACATTTTAATTTCGCTTTATATTTATTGCTATAATTATGGTCGGACCAAAATTAGTGGGCCCCCTTTTATTTTCCATTCTCTTGCCAATTGCCATCCTTCATCACCCACCCATACACTCACGCGCTATACGTCATATTGGATTTTTCTTTTTTCTCTTTTATTTATTTTTAATACAGTCAATCATCAACGTTTCACTTTCGGCCACCGCCCTAATTTCTCTTCCGACGGACTTGCAGTCCTGCTTTTCTATCGTGTCCTCTCAATGTTGACGTCTGTGCCAGAAGTAGCTTATAGGTTAATTACTTTTTTTATCCCCTCTCTCTCTCTCTCTCTCTCTCTTGTTTATCCCTTTCTTTGTTCTTCAGCAGCGTTTCATTTTCTCTCTACAAAAGTGAAGAGATGAAATTAGTTGTTGATATTTTTTTCTCATTGGTCAATCAAGTTAGGTACCTGTTTTGTGTTTGAGCTACGCCTCTGTGTTTGCTTTCTTTTGGCTTCGTTGTTCTGTGAATTTAGTATTATTGCATTTGTTTCTTGACAGGTTCATGCCCTTTTCTTTATCATTTATGGGATGATATTTTTGGAAGTGCTAATGAAAGGTTCTTCCTCGATTTTGATGGGTTCTCTGATTCTATTTATGTACGTTTGTTTGTTTGTATTTTTGTATTTTGTTTATGTAGGTTAAGGCTTTGTTCTTTTGCTTGATCTTTGTTTTCTTCTCAGTCCAGATTTTTTGCCTTCGTTTTCGAGTTTCTTTAATTATTTGCATTTGTTTTTGGCCACAGGGTATCGCTTACGGATTTTGCCCGGGTGGGTGATGGAACGACATCGAATACCAGACGGCTCTTCGTTCCTCCTGGAAATAATTTTTATTTCTCATCATCTCACTTCGATCTTGTTGCCTCTCTCTTGTTCATCTTTTTCTTTCTTCAGCTTTTCATCCCTTCATTTTTCTCTCTAGAAAGTGTAAAGTTGCATTCTTTTGTTGTTATTTTTCTCACTTTTCGTAAATTTAAATACATGTTTTGTGCTAGACCTACATTTGTTTTTGTTTTATTTTAAAGTCTAAATTATATGCCTTGAGTTTCGATTTTTTTTACTCCAGTTTTACTGCCTTCACTATTTTACAGGTTATTTGCCTTCTTTTATCAATTCTTTGGTGATGATCTTCATAAATGCCAATGGAAGGTTCCCTCTATGTTACCGGAAAGTTATCTTTCTCTCTCTATGATTGTATATATATGTATGTTTATTTTTGTTTTACTTTTTGTGGATAAAGGTGATTTTTTTTTATTTTGTGCTTGATCTCTGTTTTTACTTTTCTTTTCTTCTGAATCCAGTTTAGTGCTTTTATTTTCGATTTACTCTTCATTCATTTGTTTTGGTGCCTTTGTTTTTTAAAGAGATTATAGGATCGATGTAAGCATTTCTTATTATTGTATTGGCATAATGAAGCCTCAATATTTATACACAAAGCCACAGAATTACATCCCATAAATGATGCTATTGAGTAAGGGAATATACAGCTTAATAAGAAAGTAAATAATTAATTGTCTATCAATAATATTCTCTTAATCAAGGTAGAATATCTTCCTCAATCATCGTGCTTTATGATCAATCAGAGATTTCTTCCTTAAAACTCCCCCTCAAGTTGGAGTGTATGTCAATGACACCCAACTTGCTGAGTAAAGTTTCAAACTGCAGTGAACTTAACGGCTTGGTAAATATGTCGGCTGGTTGATCAGCTGTCCGTATGTACCCTGTGCGTATCACTCCCTTTTGAACATTTTGCCTTATCAGATGACAATCGATTTCTATGTGTTTTGTGCGTTCGTGGAATACGGGATTTGACGCAATGTGCAATGCTGCCTTGTTGTCACAGAATAATGTGACGGGTTGCGGGTGACTTATCTTTAAATCTTTCAAGATGTTCTTCAGCCATGTAATTTCGCAACATGTGGCAGCCATGGAACGGTACTCAGCTTCTGCACTAGAACGAGATACCGTTGTTTGCTTCTTTGTTCTCCAAGAAACTGGTGCTTGACCAAGAAACACACAATAACCTGTTATCGACCTTCTCGTATCCTTGCATCTTGCCCAATCGGCTTCACAAAATGCTTTTAGTTGTAATGAGCCACTAGAAGGAAAAAATATTCCCTGACCAGGTGCACGCTTGATGTATTTGAGGACCTTGTGTGCTGCCTCAAGATGTGGTTGTCTGGGTTTCTCCATGAACTGACTTAACATGTGGACTGCATAGGCTAGATCGGGTCTTGTTATGGTTAGGTAGATCAGTCTACCTACAAGTCGTCTGTACGAGGAAGCGTTGTTTAATAATTTTCCTTCTGTTTGTGAGAGAGAGACATTTTGTTCAACAGGAAAGCGTGAAGGTTTAGCCCCTAGAAAACCGGCATCTTCCAATATATCTAGAGCGTATTTTCTTTGACACAGAGCAATTCCGTGTTTTGAACGTGCCACTTCTATCCCCAAAAAATATTTAAGTTTGCCCAAGTCCTTCAGTTTAAAATGTTCCGAAAGGAATTGTTTTGCCTCTTCAATTTCCCGTAAATTATTCCCTGCTAATATCACATCATCAACATAAACTAATAATGCGATAAAACGACCTTGGCGGCAGCGGACGAATAATGAATAATCAGACCATGATTGGTGAAATCCAGCGGTCTTGAGGGCATTAGAAAGTTTGATAAACCATTGCCTTGAGGCTTGTTTGAGACCGTATAATGATTTATGCAATTTACATACCCGTGTCTCCCCCTTTCGTCCGAATCCAGGAGGCAAGTCCATGTAAACTTCTTCTTCTAGATCACCATGTAAAAATGCGTTATTAACATCAAGTTGGTGTAGGTGCCACCCTTGCATTGCTGCCACGCTAAGAAGAACACGAACGGTGGTAAGTTTAGCGACCGGGGCAAATGTTTCTCTATAATCAATCCCTTCGATTTGACTATAACCTTTCGCGACAAGTCGAGCCTTATACCGTTCAATTGTCCCATCTGGTTTCAACTTGACTTTGTAGACCCATTTACAACCAATCGGCCGTTTGTGAGGAGGCAATGAAACGAGAGACCAAGTTTTATTATTGTGGAGAGCCGTAAGTTCATGCTGCATAGCAGCACGCCAGTTGGGATCTTGAACAGCCTGTAAGTAACTTTTGGGTTCTCGACTGACGGTAAGGTTAGCAATATATGAGTTATGGTGGCTAGAAAGACGATTATATGACAAGAAGTTAGAAAGAGGATGGGCTGTACCTGACTTGCGGACCACATTCGTTGAGGATGGTGGAGCAGGCCTTGACGGGAGAGATGTCTCGACATGAAAGTCCTGCAACAGAGATGATGTTTTGATAGGGCGTGAGCCACGACGGAGTGGCGGCGGCGTGGATATAACTAGTGGGGTAGAGTGTGATGGTGGTGATGGTGGAGTAGCTGTGATTTCTGGATCTGGTGATGGGGTAATGGTTGTGCATGACGTATTATTAGGTAAGGTAACGGCTATGTTTTCGATCGATGGGTCAGAATTTATAATGGCTGGAGAAGAGTCCTCGCTTAAGTAAGTGGGTGGGGTGTTCACTGGAGACACATAATTAAGAGTAGCGGAAGAATCATTTGTGTGGTAGGGAAAAATATTTTCGAAGAAGAGGACATCTCTATAGGGCTGTGCATGGATCGGTTTTAACCACCAACCAATGCTGCGTGCAAAGACGAGGTGGCGGAGACTAATTTCTCCATTTTCCGCAGCTTCTTGTCGGCGGTTCTCGAGCCGTATTCGAGTTTGCCGAAATCAATGACAGCATACCTAGAAATCAACACACACATAATGAAATGGGCTGATACTCCAAACTTTATTTCGAATCAGATTCGCACCATCTCTTCACCTTTTAAACCCACTAATTATTATACTAAACAAACATATAATTAATTAATTAATTAATTAACTTATATATATATATATATATATATATATATATATATATATATATATATATATATATATATATATATATATATATATATATCCATATTGATATTATTAATTAACCTCACTTTTTCTTTTTTTCTTTTTTTTTTTTTCTTTTTTCCGACTGATTAATAAAATTGCAGTAGCAGCAAAAACAGTGGCGGCAGAATCATTCATTCCCCCCCTACTGTTAAGTGTTAATGGCCTCCAAGACCGCCGTTATTGATGGTCTCCTCCGTCAACACTCATCTCACTCACTCACACCGCTAATCATACTCTGATTTTATTTTTTTTGAAGTCTGTGGTTTCACTGGTTTTCAGGGGTTCAGGGGAAGATGGGCAACTAGGGATTGGGAACAATGAAGAGAGAGAATGGGTCTGCACAATCACCGCCCTCCGCTCTGAAAACGTCCGTTCCGTCGTCGCCGGCAGCCGCAATTTCCTCTCCGAGAAAATCACATTTTCAGCTTTTTTATTTTATTTTCACATATTTAACAGAAGGATATAATAGACATTTCACGTTTTCGGTTAAAAAAATTCGGTCAACCGTTAGTCAAGGGGGATTTTCGTAATTACGAGAACGTGGGGGGGATTTTCGTTATTTAGGCTTACCTCAGGGGGTTTTGGTAATTTGCCCTAATAAGAAAGTAAATAATTAATTGTCTATCAATAATATTCTCTTAATCAAGGTAGAATATCTTCCTCAATCATCGTGCTTTATGATCAATCAGAGATTTCTTCCTTAACATTTTTTGTCAGGTTCTTGCGATTTCTTTTATAAGTTTTCCGAAATGCTTGAGGAAGGTAACTACAATCTTCCATTCGCAAGATAAGTTCTGGGTATATTTCTCTATTTTTTCTTGTGTATTTGTTCGTGTGTGTGTGTGTGTATATATATATATATATATATATTATGCAGCAAATCTGGTTATGTATTTTCTGGTTACGTGAATTTAATTTTCTTATGTATTTAGTTGATATGCTGATATGTATTTTAATCCTTTGTAATTGTCTGATGCTTTGTATTATGAAGATTTTTTTTTAAAGATCCCATAAACAATTCGTCCGTAGCAATTTTAATTTTTGGTGACTTCATTAACTTCTCTGTGAAAGTTGAGGAGTTAAATTTTGATACTGCATATTGCTTGTGTGTTTCAATTTTGTTTTTTACTTTTTGTTTTTTTGTATACATGAACGAAACCTGATTTTGTTTGGAGCATACATGAGAAAAACCTGATTTCTTAGGTGTTTCTCATTGCAAGTCTTCCAGTTTAGTTTCACCAATATTCGTCTCAAGGTTGGTAATTTGTTTTTTTTATTTTTCTGCTATGTTTATGCTAATTATTTGGTTCTTTGCTTGTGTGGGTGAAAATTTTGGTGAAATTCCGAAGCTTGTAATAAAAATGGCCAAATACACTATTATGTTTAAGCTTGTAACGAAGCCTTTCAACATTTCACTTGGTGGCTCCCAATGTGCGAATTGAGGTACAATTTGCTGTAATTCTTTGTTTATTCTTTTGGTTCATGGCTGTATACACTATTTCTTTCATAAAGAAATTGTTTTCTTTTGCATAGGTGTTAGTTTCTTCACCGAATTATGGCATTGTTGTTTGTAGATTATGGTTTATTTTTACTCTATTATTGTTAGCTGTTGTGCATGGAAATATATTCGTATGCAAGAATGCTGATTCAAGTAGATGAGGTAAATGTACGATTATGTTGTTCTTTTTTTTTTTTTTTGGTTTCTGGTAATTTACTGTATATACATAATTAACATTTGTAACGGATTATGTTGGTGATTATTTCGATTTTATAGTTAGATAGGTTATATGGGAGAACCTCAAGCCAATGAAAGAGATAAAACGCCATATTGTCAACCACTCCAAAGTCTTGCAATATTTGTGATCAAATTGTGTACTAATGAATTTGTCAAAGGGGATTTGCTTTTTTCATGAATGTTAAGTTATATATATATTTTCAACTTCAAACTTCAAAATTCAATCCAACTAGAACGAAAACAAAATTGCAACTGTTATTATTTATAAATTAGTTATTACTATATATGATCTGAGTTAGGTTGGCTACTACTTTATTATTCTACTTGACTATTTAAGTTTCTATGGATTCATAAATTGAGCTATATATTATGTCATGCAAATAATTAAACTAGAAATTTTAAATCTGGGAAAATCTTGTATAGTAATGAACCAAATATGTCACAAAAGCAGGGCATTATGTACCGTGCGTGGCGCGGTGAGCACCCCCTAGTATATATATATATATATATATATATACTACGCTGT